AAAAAAAAAAAAAAAAAAAGGAAAGAAAGGAGAAAATAAGTTTAAATATCTTACCCTGTCCTCCAGACTGGCCTTGAATTCCTGGGCTCAGGCACCGTCTTGCCTCAGCCTCCTGAGCCCACCCTGAATTCTGAGTCTGCTCCGGGAAACAAGGGAAACAGCTGACTGAGAAGTGGACCTTGTACTGGGTGGGTGTCCGTAGGGGCCAGACTTGCTGGGTGTCATTTAATCCTCCAGTCACTGTGATCCTATGAACGGCACTGGGCTGATGGTCCTTTTGCAGGTGGCAAACAGCCTCAGAAGGGACCGGTGAGGCTTGCAGGTTCTCAGAGGAAGTTAATGTTGTCATTTCTTAGTATCCAAAGGGGTTTGAGTCCAGGACCCCCAGGGACACCAACACACGACCGTGCTCAAGTCCCTCAGATTGCATTGTGTAGCCAGGCGTGGTGGTGCATACCCGTAATCTCAGCACTCTGGAAGGCTGAGGCAGGAAGATTCCAAGTTCCAGCCCAGCCTGGACCATTTAGTGATTTATGGAGGCCCTGTTTCAAAATAAAAAATTTGTGCCACCACACCTGGCTCATCGTGGCCTTCTGTTTTGTTTTGTTTTGTACCGAGGGTTGAACCCAGGACCTTGCGCTTGCAAGGCGGGTGCGGTGCTACTGAGCTAAATCCCTGGCCCCATGACAGCCTTTTCATGTGATATTTTTCAGGTAAGGGCAGGACAGCTTAGTGCAGTAACCAAACTGAGAAGTTTGTCCCAATATCCACCCCATCCCCGACTTCTCCCAGTGCCTGGGAGGTCTCACTGTGGGCACCAGGAGCCCCTGCAGCATAATGTCTTGGATCTGCTGTCCCCGCCGGTTGCTTTTTTGGGCCTCCTGCGGCAGCAGCTGGCCCAGGCCCACGTGGCAGAGGCCATACCTGGTGGCCATATTCCTGCACTGCATTCCTTTGCCACAGCCGGGACCACCCACCACGAAGATGATCAGGGAGGACCTGAGTCTGTCTGTGGATCAGGAAGAGCAGGGTTATTGGTGAGCACTGCCGGGCACTGGCTGGCACCAATCAGAATGTGACCCTGGGGCCCACTAGGCACAGGTCTCTGGCATACAGGGCCTCTTTTTTTGTTTGGTGTTTTGAGACAGGCTTTCGTTATGTAAGCCACTCTGGCCTCAGACTTGCAGTGATCCTCCTGCCTCAGTTTCTCAGTTCCGAGATTACAGGTATAAATAAACCACCATAACTGGCTTTTAGCCCTTTTGGCACTATGGTGCCCTATGGGGGTTCGTGTCATGCCCAGTGGTAGGGCCAGGGACATTGTGCCATGAGATGCTAAGACTGAGACGAGTCTCCTTGAAGAACCTAATGACTCCATCATCCCAGTGTACAGTGGAGGAAACTGAGGCTCAGAGAGGGGCAGGGACTCCTACCACCTTCCCCTACTCAATAGCTTCCTTTGTGTTCCTTGTACTTTTTTTTTGTTTGTTTGTTTTTGTTTTTTTTTTTGTTTGTTTGTTTTTTGAGACAGGGTCTCACTATGTAGTTGAGACTGACCTGGAACTCACTATGTAGCCCAGGCTGGTCTCGAATTCACAGAGATCCTCCTGCCTCAGCCTCCCAGTGCTGGCATGACAGGTGTGCACCACCACAGCCGGCTTCCTTGAACTTTCAATTTCATTCTTCCCTTGCTGTTGCCTGCACCACAGAAACCCTTAGTTTCTCCTGGCCACCGCTCACCCATCAGAGTTCCCCATCTCTGTCCAAAGAGCCTCTTACCCTGACTATTCCTGCCTCAGACGCCCCCTTTTCTCCCCGACAGTGGCCACCACCAGTCGTGATCTTCCCTGTTTAGCTTTCTGTTCCCCAGGGGACTCCTCTCCGCTAAGGCAAGAACCATTTCTCCCTCCTTCATCCCTATGTTCCCACCAGTAGCCACAGTTCCTGATACTAAGTAGTGGATAGGGAGTACACGGAGGTCCAAGGCTACCAGGAGTTTTCAGTACAGGTTTTCTGTCTTGTTTTCCTCCCTCAGTTTAGCCAACTCCTAAGCATCTGGCAGGGTCCGGTGGAAACCTCCCCTTTTCCTGAGCCCTCAAGGTAACAGATTCCATTTCCTTGGGTCATTTTCCCTCTGCTACATCGTAACCACCAAGCACTCTCCCAGCCACTTTAACTTTGAGCGCTCAGAACCAAGAAGTCACTCGATCACGTCTGAAAAAGATGAATGAGTAAACCAGGAGCATGCGCAGTTCTCACTGCTAGGATGTGGGCGGGACATCTGGATAGAACGTACACCTGCAACGCGCTAAACCCCTCCCCTGTCTCCTTCCTTCCCCCCGAGTAAGGCCGTCTCCCTGCCGTATTACCCTTTTCCTGGGGCGTTAGTGGCCTGCCCATCTGGGGCAGCTTGGACTTGCACAGTCCCATCCAAGCAGCAGCCCTTGCGGCAGTCACGTCCCATCCCCATCCAGGCCCTAACCCCTTCTGGCTCAGCTCAGCGTCACAAAGGCCTCTGCAGACGATGGGGATCTGGCTCCACAGTGGCAAGGGGTTTGGAAATGAACGTTAAACAGGCCCCAGCAGAGCCTGGGGGAAAACGCGACCCCACAAAGTTGGCCTCAGTTGCTATAGCGACGAAGACTCCCAGCACCACCGAAGCAGATTGGCGCATGCGCACAGTGCACTGCAGGCCACAAGAATCCTAACCTCCCTAACCAGGGTACTTGACAGTCCCTGGGTGTATGTCACTGAGGAAGGCGTTCCCACATGTCGTGGTTATCCGCGCCAAAAGTGCACCAACCACCGACAGGACTAGCCCTCTAGGCTTTTAAAAAATTTTGAGAGCCGGGCGTGGTAGCGCATGCCTATCATCCCAGCACTCGGGAGGCTGAGGCAGGAGGATCGCTGTGAATTCGAGACCAGCCGGGGCTCCATAGTGAGTTCCAGGTCAATCTCAACTACATAATCGTGAGAGTGGGTCTCGCTAAATGGCCTAGACGTGCCTGGAACTTGCCATCCTTCCTTTTGTTTTTTGAGACAGGATCTCGCTATGCAATTCAGCTGACCTTGAACTCACTATGGAGCCCAGGCAGTCCTCGAACTTGCAGCGATCCTCCTGCCTCGGCCTCCCTAGTGCTGGGGATTATAGATATGTGCCATCATGCCCAGCTGCTTCCGTCTTTCGAGTAGCTAGGATTAAAGGCCTGAGCCTGAGAAAAAGCAGGGACACTGGGATGTGACAATCTGTTTTGTTGTTTTGGTATTGCGGGTCAAGCCTAGGTCTGCTTTCTTTTCTTTCTTTGTTTTTGTTTGTTTGTTTGTTTGTTTTGGAGACAAGAGCCTCACTATGGAGTTGAGACTGACCTGGAACTCACTGTGTAGCCCAGGTTGGTCTCGAACTCACAGCGATCCTCCTGCCTTAGCGCCCCGAGTTCTGCGATGACAGGCGTGAGTCACCACGCCTGCCTTTTTTTAATTGTTATTTTTTGGTAGCGGGGATCGAATTCTGGACCTGGCGCTTTCAAGGAAGGCGGTGGAACCACTGAGCTAAATCCCCGGCCCTGCTTTTTACTTTTTGAGACAATCTCGCTGAACTGCCCAGGCACCACTTGAATTTACGACCCTCCTGCTAGGATTAAACATGTACGCCACCAAGCCCAGTTCCTAAGTGACAGGCCTGAGTGAAAGACAGCAGCAAAAGAGGTTACCATCCCAACGCGGTCAACGCAGGAGTTTCACTTCCGGGTTAGGGGGCGGTGCAGTCGCGGAAGGAGCCAACCCAGAGCCACTTCCGGGTAAGCTTTTCCCAGGGCTGGTGGCGGAAGGTGTTTGGGGTCGTAGGTCAGGGCCGGAGACCCAAATCCTCGAGAGCGGCTTCCCTGCATTGAGGGCGCAGATACCGCAGCAGACGAAAAGAATCAGGATCGGAGTGGACCCAAGCCCCTGAGTATTGTCAATGGCGGCCCTGGTGAGTACGAACGAGGCGGGCCCGATTCGGGGATCCCGGCGGCGCCTCCTCACGCACCTTCCCACTTCCCTCCGCAGGGCCCTGGCAGCTCGAATGTCACCGAGTACGTCGTTCGGGTTCCCAAGTGAGTCCCTGGCCCCGCCTCCCACCCTCACCGCCCCCCCAACTTCCGGGGATTCCCAGCTCCCGCGGGGCTTCCCCGAGTCTTCGGCACCCGGATGAGTCGGGAACGAGTGAATCGTGCACTGCACGGTTCAGCTCGCTGGTGGAGCGGGCAGGCCGCTTGGTGCCCAGCTAAGCAACTGTTACAAGCTATCAGTTACCGTCTCCACCGTGCCCCCTTTCAGACTGGTCAGACTTTTGCACATCGCTTCCCTCTGCCAGGACTGCACCTCTGCCCATCTCCAACTGTGATTCCGCTAGGGGGATTTAAAAAGAAACTATGGTTACCTAATTGTAGTACTGGGGATTGAACCTTAAATCCAGGGCCTTTACACTGAGCTACATCCTCAGCCCACCCTCTGCCCTTTTTTTAAAAAATTTGTGACAGGGTCTTGCCAAGTCACTGAGTTACCCAGGCTGGGCTCAAACTTATGATCTTCCTGCCTCGGCCTCCCAGAGTGCGGGGATGACAGGTGTGCGCCACCACACCCAGCTAGGTGGATTCTTACTGGTCTAGCAAAACCTAATTTAAGTTCATAGCCAGCCTGGGTTACATAGTGAGTTCTGGGTGGTTTGTTTGTTTGTTTGTCTTTTGTTTTGTACTGGGGGGTCAAACTCAGGGCCTCGCACTTGCCAGGCAGCAGGCGCTGTGCTGCTGGGCTACATCCCCGGCCCCACAGAGTGAGTTCAAGGCTAACCTGAATTACAGAGTGAGACTCTTTCTCAAAAAACCAAACCAAAACAGAAAAACAACCAGTTTGAGTTTTCATATTCCGCGAAGCGCTGCCTTCCTGCCCTCCGTCTTACCCATGGCCGGTTCCCAGTGATCCCTGCATCTCGAGTTCTCCCCAGATCTTCTGGTTGGAAATGGATGGCAGCTTCCCTGACAATCTGGAAAACCTTAGGGTATTTTCTGAGTCCCTAGCATTGCCCAGCACAAAGGACTGGACTGAGGTGGGTTTGTTGAATGAATAGGTGATCACCTCATCACTGTTTCTTCTTGCTTCTTACTCCAGGAACACAACCAAAAAATATAATATAATGGCTTTCAATGCAGCCGATAAAGTGAACTTTACTACATGGAATCAGGTAAGTCCCTGGTCTGGGGAGTCTGGGGGGCAGGAGTTGAGAGAACCTGACTCTGGATCTGGTGGTTGTAATACTTGCTTAGCTGTAATAGTAACTAAGGTTGAGCTTTCTCCGCTTTTCTCAAATGCACATAAAAGGACAACGAAGGCCCTGGCCAAGATGGTGGCTGTGGTTTTGTTAGGTTCACAGGCGATCTTCACCTTAAAAGAGAGCATTTCAGCATGGCATAGTGGTGCACACCTTTCATTCCGGCATTCAGGAGGCTGAGGAAGGAGATCATACATTTAGGAACTTATTAAGACCCTGTCTCAAAGTAAAAAATAAAAAAGCACTGGAGATGGAGCTCAGTGCAAAGGCCCTGGGTTCAGTTCCGAGACACACACACACACACACACACACACACACACACACACAGAACAATTTAAAATTATGCCCACTGTGGGCACTGGGGGCCATTCTGGGCCTAGATTTGCCGGGGTAGGGCCTTGGCCTGAGCTGGGAGCTCCGTGCTCTCGTGGTCTCAGAGCTGCTACTGTGCTAGGCTCTTGGAAGGGACTGCAGGCTGATGACGGGCTGAGGAAGGGAACTCGCAGCCCCGCAGTGCCGCTGAGTAGTGCTGTGGGTCTGAGGGCAGATGTAGGAGCCCAGGAGCGGGAGGGGGAAGAGCCTGGAGAGTGGAGGCAGGGCCTGGAGAGAACAGGTTAAGAGAGTCAAATTCTACAGGTTTTTTTGTCCTGCTGAAGGTAGAGGCTGAGGACAAAAGCGGAAGTGAGGACGATGCCATTTATAGTCCGTCTCTTCCCGGGTCTGCGGTTTTCCTTTCCGGGGCTTTGGCTGCCTGCAGTCAGCTACACTCCGAAAGCATCACATGGAAAACTCAGGATTGAAACGAGGCCTGAGTTTTAGATTGCCTGCTCCGCTGCGTGGCCTGATGAAATCTCGCTGTCCACTGTATGCAATCCAGGACGAGAGCTGCCCCTTTGTCCAGCACGTCCACACCACATCCACTCACTCCCTGCCCATGTTAGCAGGTCAGCTGTTCTGGTGTCCTAGTGTTTGTGTCCAAGGGACCCTCATTTTACTGAGTAATGGCTCCAAAGCCCAAGAACAGTGATGTTGGAAACTCAGATATGCCACAGAGAAGCTATAAAATGCTTTTTTTTTTGGTACCAGGGATCGAATTCGGGACCTTGCACTTGCGAGGCAGATGGCAGAACCACTGAGCTAAATCCCTGGCTATAAAGTGTTTTTCTATTTTTTGTTTTGTTTCTTTTGCATTTTTTTTTTTTTTTTTTTTTTTTTTTTTGGGTTTGTGAAAAATTTTTTTTTTTTTTTTTTTTTTTTGTACCGGGAATTGAACTCAGGTCCTTTTGCTTGTGAGGCAGGTGGTGGAGCCACTGAGCTAAATCCCTAGCCCTTTTGTTTGTTTTTTAAGACAGGCTCTCACCATGCTAGTCATGCTTGCCTTGAACTCAGTAGCCTAGGCTGGCCTCGAACTTGCGGTGATCCTCCTGCCTCAGCCTCCTGAGTGCCGGGATTACAGAGTTATGTGTTATTGTTGTTTAAGTCCCAAAGTCATTGTAGCAGATTCACCAAAGGGCTACCATCCTACACCCCTTTGCTCGAACCCCAGGAAGTTAATACTTCAAGCATCTGGGGTGCAGCGTAGGGGGGTGAAGAGTGTTCTTCATGGGGATTTGCAGTCCAGGCAAAAGTGGGGCCCTGACAGGTTTCTCCTCCTGCTCCCCCAGGCCCGGCTGGAGCGGGATTTGAGCAATAAGAAGATTTACCAGGAGGAGGAGATGCCTGAGTCGGGTGCAGGCAGCGAGTTCAACCGGAAGCTCCGGGAGGAGGCCCGCCGCAAGAAATACGGCATCATCCTCAAGGAGTTCCGGCCCGAGGACCAGCCCTGGCTGCTCCGTGTTAACGGAAAATCAGGCAGGAAGTAAGTGCTGATGGGGAAAGGTACCGCCCTGCGGGGTGTGCTCTCCGAACCTCAGTTCCCCAGCTGCCAGCACTGCCTCGTTTATTTAGTTTATTTACTTATTTATTTACTGCGGTACTGAGTATGGAACCCAGGGCCTTCGCGTTGAGCCAGATCCCCAGCCCTTTTTATTTTGGGACCAGGTCTAGGTTAAGTTAATTCAGGCCACGCTTAAACTTGTGATCCTCCTGTCACGGCTTCCCAGAGTGCTAGGATAGCAGGTGTGCGCCACAACCCCTGGCTCCCTCATTTCAGCGTTTTTTATTTTTTATTTTTATTTATTTATTTATTTAGGTGTTTTGATTTGTTTACTTTTTTTTTTGGTACTGAGTATTGAACTCCGGTCCTCGCGCCCTTGCTGGGCTGGAGTTTGCCGTCTCCCTGCCCCAGCCTCCCACGTGCAGGGATGTGGGAGTCGGGAAGAGCTTCGGATCCCACCACTGCCCCCATTGGGAACACTGAGAATCTGAGCCTTCTCTGGGTTGCACAGCCCCCCTCTCCCCGCTTGATTTCAGTGTGTCTGGTCCTCAGCGATGCACAAGACGGGGGCAGGGCACAGATACAGCTAGGCCCCTCGGGCAGCATAGAAAAGGGCAGCATAGAAAAGGGCCGGCCGGGGTATGACAGGCCGGGGTATGACAGTTCGGAAGGGGGAGTGGCAGCGCTGGGGGGCATCTGAGTGTCCCGCCCTGGACTGGGGGACGGGTCTCTTGGGTCACCTTGGACAGCCTGCAGGAAGCAGTGAGGTCAGTGTGGTGAGAGATTCCAGGCAGACTGCAGGTGACAGTGACGGATGACAGGCTGGTTGCTCGAGAGACACAGGAGGTGCCAGGATATAGCAAGGCCCAGGGCAGTTGAAGTTATAGGCCAGGACAGGCACTAGAGCAAGACTGCAGACGGGAGTGGAGTGGCAGTGCATGCCTGTAATCCCAGCACGGTGGGCGGCTGAGGCAGGAGGATCACAAGTTTGAGTCCTACCCAGGGAACAGAGCCCTTGTCTCCAAAAATAAAAATGAAGCCAGGCGCGGTGGCGCACACCTGTAATCCCAGCCCTCACGGGAGGCTGAGGCAGGAGGATCGCTGTGAGTTTGAGTCCAGCCTGGGCTGCACAGCGAGTTCCAGGTCAGTCTCAACTACATAGTGAGACCCTGTCTCAAAAAAACTAAAAATATAAAGAATAAAAATATAAATAAAATAAAAATGGCTGGAGACTTAGCTTGGTCGGAAGGCCCTGGATTCAATCCCCTAGACTGGGAAAACCAAAAAGGCTGGAGAGTGTGGATTTGGGGCAGCATCAGGGTGCAAGCCACATGGAGGGTTGGGCTGTCTTGACCACCATGACCTGGCTCTTGGGCCGCTTCCCAGCGGCAGCCCAGCCTCCCTGTCCTGGCCTCCCTCTGAGGACCCAGGTGGGTCAGGAGGAGGAGGCAGACAGGCACCACCACAGCCCACCCACCACCTGCTGCAGGTTCAAGGGCATCAAGAAGGGAGGCGTGACGGAGAACACATCCTACTACATCTTCACCCAGTGCCCCGACGGCGCCTTTGAGGCCTTCCCTGTGCACAACTGGTACAACTTCACCCCGCTGGCCCGGCACCGCACACTCACCGCTGAGGAGGCTGAGGAGGAGTGGGAGAGGTGAACCTCGGGACAGCGTGGGAGGGTGGCTGAGCTGCATGCAGGAGATGGTGCAGCGGGGCGGCCCGGCTGGCTCCTGCAGCAAGGCCTGCCTGGACCATCTGTGCGGCTCGCTCGGGAGAGTGCAGCCTCTTGGGAGAGGCGCCCTGGGGATGGGACAGGGTGGATGCGATTATGTGGGCCAGGGCCAGAGAAGTGGGGCCGGGCTCATGGTCCTACCCACCCAGCAGAGGATGTGGCCTCCTGAAGATGTGGGAGGATGCACAGGGCCCTGGGCCAGCTTGCAAAACTGCATTTTGTCTGTCATCCCAACTACTCGGAAGGCTGAGGCAGGAGGATCACAAGTTCAGTCCAGCCTGGGCTACTAAGTGATTTGGATATATCTCAAAATAAAATATGAAAAGGAGCTGGGCACAGTGGTGCAGGCCTGCAGTCCCAGCACTTAGGAGGCTGAGGCAGGAGGATCTCTGTGAGTTTGAGGCCAGCCTGGGCTACACAGTAAGTTCAAGGCCAGCCTGAGCTACATAGTGACATTGTGAGACCCTGTTTAGAAAAAGAGAGGGGAGCTGGGGATGTAGCTCCGTGCAAAGGCCCTGGTTTAATCCTGTGCACTGAAAAAACAGAAACAAATTTCATTCCTTTCCATAACATTCATGAATTTTGTATATGTGGGTAGATGTAGTCTTAAGGTTTCACATTAAATGAGGCGCCAGGTTTGGGGGCTTTTTTGTTTTTTGTTCTCTCAGGCAGGGGCTTGCGCTGTAGCCTAGCCTGGCCTTGAAATTTGCCAGCCTCCTGCCTCAGCCTCCCCAGTGCTGTGTTGCAGGCCTGCACACCACGCCCAGCACACAAGGCAGCTTTCTCCCTGGCTTTGGGGTGCTCTGTGGCCAGGCTGAGCCCCCTGAGAAGGCCCCCTGGGCAGAGCTGCAAGGCTGCCTTGTCACCCGGCCCATCACCCCGCAGGAGGAACAAGGTCCTGAATCACTTCAGCATCATGCAGCAGCGGCGGCTCAAGGACCAGGGCCAGGACGAGGAGGAGGAGGAAAAGGAGAAACGCAGCCGCGAGAAGGCCAGCGGGCTGCGCATCCACGACCTGGAGGACGACCTGGAGATGTCGTCGGATGACAGCGAGGCCAGCGGCGAAGAGGGTAGGCCGGTCCCCGCCGCTCAGGGGGCCTGGCTGGTTCGGGCCCGACACAGACTCGGTGCTCCAGCGGCCCCGAATGAGAGGCATCGGGAAGTGGGACAGGCTGGGGACCCGGGGCCGAGGCCCCACGGGGAAAGGCCCCTCAGGGTGGGCCGCTGAGTGCTGGGACCCCCGTCCCGAGCCGTCCCGAGCCGCCCTGGGGGCGCTGTCAGTGAGGTCCCCTGACGTCAGGCCGTCCTCAAACAGCAGGGACGTGGTGGATCCGTACCCCAGCCCCTCCCTGTCCTCCCTGCCCTCTCCAGGCAGCAGAGCCCCCAAGGCCAAGAAGAAGGCCCCGCTGACCAAGGCGGGCAGGAAGAAGAAGAAGAAGAAGAAGGGCTCAGATAATGAGGCCTTTGAGGACAGCGACGACGGGGACTTCGAGGGCCAGGAGGTCGACTACATGTCTGACGGCTCCAGGTGAGGCCCGCGGCCCGCGGAAGGCGAGTGTGAGACGCGGCCCAGCCGACCTCAGGTTCTCATTCGCGCGCCCTCCGCCCCTCTGCCCACAGCAGCTCCCAGGACGAGCCCGAGAGCAGCAAGCCCAAAGTGCAGCAGCAGGAGGAGGGGCCCAAGGGTAGGCGGGGCCGGGGCGGGGCCGGGCCGAGGACACGCCCCCTCCCCCTCCCCCAGCCCTGACCCAGCCCTGTCCCAGGTGTGGACGAGCAGAGCGAGAGCAGCGAGGACAGTGAGGAGGAGAAGCCGGCTGCCACCGAGGAGGACAAGGAGGAGGAGGAGGAGAAGAAGGCGGCCACCCCGCAGGAGAAGAAGCGCCGGAAAGGTGCGTCCATCCTGTCCACAGTGCAGGTGAGGGTGGGCGCAGGCGTCCCAGCGGCCCCCACGCTTCTGACTCGCAGCCCTTGGTCCCTGCAGACAGCAGCGAGGAGTCTGACAGCTCCGAGGAGAGCGACATCGACAGCGAAGCCTCCTCGGCCCTCTTCATGGCGGTGGGGCTCGGCCTGGGGGGGCGGTGAGGGCGGCGCAAGTGGGGTCGGGCTCCACACTCAACCCGACCGACCTCGGCTCTGCAGAAGAAGAAGACGCCCCCCAAGCGGGAGCGGAAGCCTTCGGGAGGCAGCTCGAGGGGAAACAGCCGGCCCGGCTCCCCCAGCGCAGAGGGCGGCAGCACTTCTTCCACCCTGCGGGCTGCGGCCTCCAAACTGGAGCAAGGTGAGTCCGCGCCACCTCTGTCCTCCTGAGCCCTTGGTACCCGTGGTCCTGGCCCTGCCTGCCCAGAGGTCCCACCTACCGCCCTGAGCTGGGCACAGTGGCACACACGTCATCCCAGTGCTCTGGGAGGCTGAGGCAGGAGGATCCCAGGTTGGAGCCCAGCCTGGGCAATTTAGTGAGATCCTGATTCAAAATTTGGAAAACAAAGAGCTTGGGACATAGATGAGCGTAAAAGCCTAGGGTTCCATCTGCGGTACGAAAAGAACAAGGCAGGACTCAGCCCCAAGCCTACCCCACAGGGAAGCGGACAAGCGAGACGCCCACCGCCAAGCGGTTGCGGCTGGACGCCGGCCCCCAGAGCCTGTCCGGGAAGTCCACCCCACAGCCGCCGTCCGGGAAGTGCACGCCCAGCAGCAGGTAGGTCCAGGGGACGTGGGGAGGGAGTCAGCACCCAGGGGCGTCTCGGTGACCCCCGCCCTGTGCCTCAGTGACGTGCAGGTGACCGAGGACGCTGTGCGGCGCTACCTGACGCGGAAGCCCATGACCACCAAGGACCTGCTGAAAAAGTTCCAGACCAAGAAGACGGGGCTGAGCAGCGAGCAGACGGTGAACGTGCTGGCCCAGATCCTGAAGCGCCTCAACCCCGAGCGCAAGATGATCAACGACAAGATGCACTTCTCCCTCAAGGAGTGAGGCCCCGCCCCCAGTAAACAGTTGTGTGCCCCGCACCGCCGGGCTCCATGTGCCTGCTCGCCTCACCCCCAGTCCCGGGCCCGAGACAGTGATTCTGAGCAGCCCCTCTGCCCTTGGGAGGCCCCGCCTGCTGTAACTAATACAGCCCAGAGGTTCTCCGCCAAAAGCCCAGGATTATCTACTGCGCAACCTGTTATAAACTTAGTTTCAATGACTCCGTTCTTGTTTGCCCAAAGTTACCTTTGTGTCTGTTCCACATTGATTTGGCTAGTGTTTTGGTCTTCTATTTATTTATTTTTTGTTTGTTTTTGGTTTTTTGAGACAGGGTCTCACTATGTAGTTGAGACTGTCATGGAACTCACCGTGTAGCCCAGGCTGGTCTCGAACTCCCAGAGATCCTCCTGCCTCAGCCTCCCGAGTGCTGGGATGAGTGCACCACCATGCCCCCCCCCTTTTTTTTGAGGCAGGGTCTCCTATGTAATCCAGGCCAGCCTTGAACTAAGTAGCCCAGGGTGGCTTTGAACTCGCCATCCTGCTCCTCAGCCCCCAGCGTGCTGGGATCACAGGCCTTTGCTGTCAGTCCTGGCACCCTTTCAGTGTTGCATTTTTATTTGGAGCATACTTACAGTCTGTCAGACAAGTCTAAGTCAAGTTTTCCAGCATCCTGCCGTACCTTCTGCCTCCCCACCCTGGAGGTGATTTCCTGGCTTTTGTAATCATGGTGCATCCTCGGGATGCCCGGCTGCCCACTTTGTACAGGAGACTTCTAGCTGGTAACCCTTTGACTCTGCTGCCACCCAGGGATGCCTGGTTCTCAGCTCGGGCTCTGTCCCCACATGGCCACCAGAGCCCACACCCTGGGTGCTGACTTTGGCGTCTGGGGCCCATTTTCTGTCCCTCAAGAGATGTTTCTGGGGTTCCGCTCGCCTCCTTGCCAAGCTGAGAATTCATTTATTTTATCAGCGTTACCAGGCATTCTTTAGAAGGGGCGTTATCGAGATCCTGGGCAGTAACGGCCAAGAACAAACCCGGGCCCCAAGCATGAGGCTGAAGGCAGGATGTGGGGCTTCCTCCCTGCTTGTCCTGCCAGGGCTGGCAACCTTGGTGGGAAACTGCCCCGCCCGGGGATGCCTGGGATGTCAGGCTAATTCCTAGGAATGTCCCTGGCCTCTTCGGGGAGCTGGAAAGCACTGTCACTCCTGGCCCTGGTGGCTTCGCCCCTGCTGTCCGTGCCACGTAGACCTCGGTCTAGGCCTCTGCACCAGGAAGACGGGCAGTGTAACCAAGGGAGAGGAGCAGGGTTCTGGTGCTCAGGGGGACCTGAGTTCAAAGCCCAAGTCTACTTCTTCGTTCTGGATGACTTCAGACAGGTGATTTGTTTTCAGAGTAATCTTGAGGACTAGGAGAACTGCCACCAAAGGGACCCCTGGGGATGGAGTTAACCGGCTGATGACCACCCCGGGTGCTCTGTTTGGCTTCCTCACGTGAACATGTCTTGGGATAGATCAGAATATGGGATTTCAGTCCCAGTTTCTCAAGTGTTCGCATTTACACCCACCCCTGCCAGCGGTCACACAGCCTAACTGCAGCATGTTGACCAACCTTAAGGTCTCCACAAGCTGTCACCTTCTTGTGTGTGTGGAATTGGACACCCGCTGACACACAGAGCAAACAAGCTTTGTATTCCTCAGCCTCAAAAGCTCTAGGGCGCAGTGCAGGGGTGCACACCTGTAATCTCAGCAACTCAGGAGGCTGAGACAGGAGGATCTTGAATTTGAGACCGGCATGGACAATTTATTTAGCAAGATGCCGTCTCCAAATAAAAATGAAAGGGTGGGGGGTGGGGGGGGTGTTCAGTGGCAGAGTGTGTTTTCCTGCCATGTTTCACCCCCAGCATTAGTGGGTGGGGGGGGTTCAGTGGCAGAGTGTGTTTTCCTGCCATGTTTCACCCCCAGCATTGCAACAAAACAAAAACTTCTGCCAGGAATGGTGGGGCATGCCTTTCATCCCGGGACCCAGGAAGAGGAGGCAGGAAGATTGCTACAAGTTTGAGGCCAGCACAAGCCACATAAGGAAACTCTCAAAAAAGCAACACAGGTACACACACAAGCCCAATTTTTAATCCCTACTACTTGGGAAGCTGAGAAAGTTGCAAGTTCGAGGCCAGTTTGAGGAACTTAGAAAGCCCTTGTCTCACAGTGACCAGGGGTGGGGAGGGCGCTCAGTGGTGCTTGCCGTGCAGGCGCAAGGCCCCGAGTTCCATACCCGGTACTGAAAGAAAAGCTGCGGTCAGCGTCTCAGGGCGGCACAGAGCTAAACCCTGTGTCCCCCAGGTCACACTAGGCCACAGTCGCGCCTCACCACAACCTGCCACTGGCTCCACCTGTCACGCTGGCCCTCGGCCTCCCCTCAGGCTGTGATGCTCTGACCCCTGGATGAAGCCTCAGCCATGGGGTCCTGGGTTGGCTTTTCCAGAGATGGCCTCTGCCCCCATCTCCCTGCGCCTGGCTGTCCCTCAGCCTCTCCCTCTTCCTGTTTTCACGCGGGCCCGGCCAGGGCCGGAGACAGGCTTGATGGCTTAATCCCCGGCACGGCCATGACAGCAGGGTCCCATCACTACGCCACCTGCCAAGCCGCCCTCCCCAGCCCCGCATCGGCCCCATGCAGTACCCGTGGCGGCGCCCGGTTCCCTGTTCCTGCCTTCATGGGTCGGGACCCCTCCAGACAGCAGGTGGGGTGGGGACACCTGTCCTCCACCCCAGGTTGGCCCTGGCTGCTGGGACAGCTCGTAAATCAGGGGGTGTCGGACACGGGTCTGTGGAATGTCTGGACAGGGCGCGGTGGGATGAGCCCTTAACTCTTAGAGAACGGGGTGTGGGGCAGCAGGAGCCCATGCTCGGACCTAAGAGCCTGGGACAAGCCAGACAGGGACATCGGCACCTCTCCCGCCTGTGGGAGCCGGCAGTGAAGAAGCCGCCCCACCCCCAGGCGGGGATAAATTCAGGGCCAGGCTCCCCAGCCTCAGGACCGGCCTGTCACCATGGCCACAGGGAGAGGCGTCCTGCTGGCTTCACTGCTGCTCCTGCTGCTGCAGCTGGGCCTCGGCTGGGGCCCCGACGCCCAAGGCGCTCCAGTTGTAGAGGGAGAGTTCTTGCCTGGGCAGACAGCGAAGGCAGGAAGGAACTGGACACCACTGCTGGGTAAGTCCCCAGGGAAGCCTGTGACCTCCGACTCCTTCCTGCTGGGACCCTGCCTTTGCCAGCATCTTTTTTCTCCCCAGGCACCCGCCATCCCCGTGCCCGCCTGCGCAGGGCCCCTGGCAGTCCGTGCCAGCTGTGGAGCCTAACCCTTCCCGTGGCAGAGCTGGGCCTGGGCTATGCTTCGGACGAGAAAGTCACTTTCTGCTACTGCGCCGGCAGCTGCCCCCGCGGTGCCCGCACCCAGCACGGCCTGACCCT